AAGTTTGGGAACGGTGTTGGCAATTTCTATCTGACGACATACTATACAAGCAACGTCGTCTTTTTGATAATGATGGTATGAGATTTAGGGGGTTTTATATTATGCATTTATCAAGTATTATAATAACATTGTTTTTCTTAATTATTAAATTTTTTTGTTTTCCATGTAAAAAAGCGAAATCTAATAGGTCATCTATCGTTATTTCAGATTTGAAGCTGGGTGATGCAGATATAAAAAATTTAGCTCTTGCAGAGATTGAGACATTATTGAGACATCGTGGCACAAGCCTTCGGGACTATTCTACTATGCCTTTTCCAGATATGAGCAGTATGAATTCAAGTGTGAACCGTCTGGTTATGGATGAACTTAACTATGACCGTAAGGCTCTAGCTAATGAGCATGATGAATTGCTGACACATATGACCGATGAACAGAAGGGTGTTTATTCCAGAATAATGACATCTGTTGATTCCGGTAGGGGCGACATGTTTTTTGTTTATGGTTATGGTGGAACTGGCAAGACATACTTGTGGAGGACTTTAGCTGCTGGGCTAAGATCGCGTGGTCGAATTGTTCTTTGTGTTGCATCAAGTGGAATAGCATCTCTCCTGTTGCCGGGCGGTCGCACTGCACATTCTCGATTTGGCATTCCTCTTTCTGTGCATGAAAATTCATCGTGTGATATCAATCAGGCTAGCCCCCTTGCAGAGTTGATTATTCGCTCTTCGTTGATCATATGGGATGAGGCCCCTATGATGCACAAGCATTGTTTTGAAGCTGTTCAAGCTTCTTTTAAGGCAATAATGGGAGCAATCGACCCGGCAAATCATCATAAACCATTCGGAGGCAAGACTGTTGTGTTTGGTGGAGACTTTCGACAAATCCTGCCTGTAGTTCCAAAGGGGAATCGTCAAGAGATTGTTAATGCTGCTATTAATTCTTCTACCATTTGGGGAGACTGTACTGTGCTTAGACTTACAAAGAACATGCGTCTTCAGAGCATTGGCGATTCGAATGAACGTGACGAGCTAGCCGCTTTTGGTGATTGGATAGCGAGCATCGGAGATGGCACATTGGGGGGTACAAATGATGGATGTGCTCCGATAGACATACCAGATGATCTATTACTAGAGCCATCCGATGATCCAATTGCAAAAATCGTTGAAAGCACGTATCCGATGTTCAAGAATGCAACCGATGATCCAAGTTACTTGAAAGATAGGGCTATACTCGCGCCAACACTCGAGATCGTAGAATCTATAAATGCATACATGTCGTCGTTGAATTTGACTGAAGGACGCACGTATTTAAGCTCAGACAGTACGTGTAAATCTGACTCCAATACCGACTTTCTGGCACAACTCCACACTCCTGAGTTCCTGAATACTATCAAGTGTTCTGGAACACCGAATCATGAGTTGAATTTGAAGGTCGGAACTCCAGTTATGTTGTTGCGGAATATGGATCACTCAATGGGACTCTGCAATGGTACACGATTGGTTGTGACCAAACTCTCCAATCATGTTCTCGAGTGTAAAATTCTTACTGGCGATCATGCAGGTGATAAAGTTTTGATACCTCGAATGACCATAACTCCTTCGGATGTTAGAGTACCATTCAAATTCCAAAGAAGGCAGTTCCCCATTGTGGTTTCGTATGCAATGACTATAAACAAGAGTCAAGGTCAATCATTATCTCATGTTGGCTTATTTTTGAAGAAACCAGTTTTTAGTCATGGCCAGTTATATGTCGCTGCCTCCCGTGTTACTAATAGAAAGGGTCTTAAAATTTTAATTTGTGGAGAAGAAGGTTTGAAAGCAAATCAAACCAATAATGTTGTGTATAGAGAAGTGTTTAATAATATATGAATTTTTTTTTTTGTAATTTGTATTTCTCTCTATTTTTTTCTATTACAATCAAATTATTAATTTATAAACAAAAATATTAAATAAAGTTTAGACAAAAAGGTTTGAGGAAATAATCCCACCGTACTGCGCACCGGTACTACATTATGTTTCCGAAAAAAGTATACAGTCCGTGCATCGCACGGGTTACGTACTAGTGGAGTATCTACTATTAATCTTATTCAGTTCCACCTAAATCAGTGATTCAATTTATTAAATACTCTTTTGGAACGGATCAATTTTTTAATTTTTTTAATTTTGATTTCAAAATTTTATGCTTAAATATTATCCTACCGTTTTGACTTCTTATAGTGCACTTTAATTTTTAAAATTATAGGCCAAAATATTGTCAACCTTTTTTAAACAATTTATGTGTCAAATTATTTGAAAACAATTATGTATCAACAAATCTGTTTAAAAAAATATAAATATGTTTAAAAATGGACGACAACAATTTTTGGTATTACGTTTTCTACAATAAATCTTAACTATGAAATTATCATTTACATTAATATCCTAAATCGAATATTTGCAATATTTTAATTACATATAAAATCATCATGATGTTTAAAATGTTTGTGTTTATCATTTCTCATTAAAAAAATAAATTAATAGAAGAAAATAAATTAATTAAGAATTGAGTAATGGTAAATGTTAATTTTTCACAATTAATTTATTTATGTATTCTTTTTATAATAAGTACTTATATATATATTATATAAGCAAAAAATTATTATGTTTAAAAACATAATAAATGATATGCAAAATGTCTCTACTATGTAGTAACTCATGTTTTGATTATCGCGACAATTGAAAAATCAATCGATTAATTTTAGTTTTTTAAAATATGTTTTTTATTTTATAAATATGTATAAAGAAAGAAATAAATGACTTATCTTTAGATACATAATTTATAATCTTAATATATTGTCATTTGGCATAAACATTTACTACATGAATCATGAAATATTTTTTATTTCATAAAGTTACATATATTTAAGGAATATAAGAAAATTTCATTTGATCAATTGAGTGATTGAATTAGGCAAATGACCAGTATTAGTTGATATTTAAAATAGTAAAAATACATGACACAACTGATGGTGATCCCGAGTGACCGAGTTATGGGTCAGTGACCCAATTGAGCCGAGTGACCAAATTATGGGTCAGTTTGATCAGACCGAATCAATTATTAAACTTAATAAACTTTTTAATATAAAAATACTTTATTACAAATGTAATGTAGTTCATACTGCAAATAATCATATTAAGAATGCCTTTATGTCAACATGTTCAAGGAATTATTAACACTTACATGTTATTTTATTAATATTTTATGTGAATAAAATGATAGTGCATTACAACTTTATTAATGTACCGTAAATCCAAAATTCTCAAGAGAGGACCGTTTTCAAACCAATCAAGTTATTTATTCAATGATTAATTAGTTGCATCAGAATTTAAATTATTAATATTTTAATATATATGTATATATATTAATTTTTAAAATAAATTTATTAAAAAATATTAATTAAATATAGGAACAATTTAAAATTTTTCAATCATTAAATAATCTATAAATATCTATTTTTAACAAATATTTACTTTTATTTATATTAAGAATAGTTTTAAATGTAACAAAATTTATGTAAAAAATCGTACTGATACTAACAATCAGACCGATTGGTGTTGACCGGTTCTCTAGCAAACATTTTATTCAAACGAACCGAACCGGTCGATAAACCGGTTCTCGGTTCATACGGTCAGACTATTCGGTCCGGTCCAGTTTTGAAAACAATGGGTAAATCATGATTAACGTTATTTATAAATTTAATTTATAATACAATCATAATATTGTTTCCCGTGCATCGCAGGGTCACGTACTAGTATTTAAAAAGGAAATGTAGTATTTCTAGCGCTTATAATGTTCTAGAAGTCGCTAGGTGCCCGCTAGGCGTTTGACCAGCGCCTAGCGACTGGAGTGGCTAGACAGGGCCTAGAAACCATGATTAGATATCTTACTTTTTTATTTATTCACTATCTACAAAATAAAATTATCTCAACTTATAATGAATCCATACACCTAAGTCCAAATGATAATATTTATTTATTATAAAAAAATATGATAACAAAATAATGTAATTAGTATTTAAAAAAACTGAAAAATTACCACCCAACTCGCCTAGGTCTGTCTAGTCCCGCCTAGGCGCCGCCTAACGGTCTGACCATTTTTTTCAGTCGATTTATGCAAATTGGAGGCAGCCAGACAACGCCTAGTGCCTAGCAACCATCGTGTTTTGAAGCAGAATCGTATACATTTAAAATAACCGTGAAAAATAGTACTCCCTCCATTTTGAAATATAAGGCATTTAAGGTTATTGCACAAATATTAAGGAGACATTAATGAATGAATAAATTGACTAAATTAACCTTATTTACTCTAATCACAACCACTCCACACTTCCTTAATTTCAACACAATGAGGGTATATTTGGAAAAAAATGTAAAAATTTGTCTTGATTTTTGAGTGCGCCTTATATTTCAAAAAAATTGAGAAATCTTTATACGCCTTATATTTCAAAATGGAGGGAGTAGTAAATAGAGGCAAAAATAAAAAAAAAAATCGACGTCTCTGGGGTAACTTCTTTATGGCCCTCAAATTAGATATGATGAAGGCCTATGACAGGGTGGAATGGCAAGGGGTTCATCAAATAATGATAAAAATGGCAGCGCCTAGGCTGATTTTTAGTATACTGATTGCTTGACCTAAGTTATGCTCCTATGTTTGGCATCTAAGGAAAAAAGGAAAAGTAAGTGAGAAAACTGACGATAATTTCTATTATTTTGCCTAATTAATTTATCGTATTAATATCTTTAATTATCTCCATATTCTTACTCTTGGAGACAGGAGACGTGTATTGATTTTCTTTTCATCAATGTAAAAGTCTAAATCCATTTAGATGTTTTCTTAATCTTATTTTTAATGGAGTCAATCCGTGTCTTATTAAATTCTAATAAGAAAATGATAACTTCTATTTATGTTTTATTCAGGGAATATTAGAAAATAAAATATGATATCCTCATTCTTCCACCAAAATTTGGAAGAGTTGAAATAGCCACAGGACGAGATCTTCATAATAAATCACTAAATTATTCATATGCTTGAGTCTTATTAAGCACATCATACCATATAAAGTGAAGACAAAAGAACATTATAATTCCAGAAAATATGTACCGTTACGAGAAATGCAATTAAAATATAATTACACCCACGTTATTTAATTTTGATTTTCACAATACATAAGCATTTACTGACACACACGAAAAATAATGGTATAGAGATACATAAATGTATACGTATAGAAAGAGAGAGTTCGAAAAATATTCAGTACGGAGTACTTTTACAATTTGTCATTTTGACAGTCATCTGTTCCGACCAATGCCCAACAGGAGAAAATGCAAATCAATTGAGAGAGAGAGAGAAAAAAAGAGAGAGAAGGAAGTTGGAGAATATATTTACACAGCGGAAAATGGGGTGAAATGTGAAAAAGTAGCGGCTGAAGTGGTTTTGAGAACAACAGCTGCTGAGCAAGACTCTGTTTTCTTTAGCCTTTTTTGTGTGTAAGTTCTAATGATGTTGCTCTTTATTATTGGACTTGTTGTGAAATGTATAAAGAAAGAATGTTTTTGGTGTTTTTGGCCCATTTGCAAAGATTTGATCTTTTTTAAGGGTTTCATTTTTTTGGAGAGAGCATTTGTTTGAATGTTCTTGATCGTACGTTTATATTAAATGGTGTTGTTAATTCAGTCTGTAAGTTTGTGTTCATGGAGCTGTGGGGTTTTGTGAATTATCTGACCTTTTTTAAGAGTGAATTTTTTTTTTCCCTGATTGTTGATCTGGAGTTTGGCAACTGGAATTTTGTCTTCCAAATTAATTTTTAATTGTTTGTATGCTTTTGCTTTACATTGACTTTCTTGTAATCTGATTTGTAAAATTCAGAGATTGTTGAAAATTTTTCTCTGTTTGATATGATCTCATGTCTCATGATTAGCTGCTCCTCATGAGAAACTTTTCTCCCACGACTTTTATATATTTTGTTCTGTGAATATTGGGATATCTTTCTTTGACATGGACATATATTTCCAGGACATATTCATCTAATTAAAGAAACAAAATCAATTTCTTATAACAAGAAGAAAAATTCCCCTACATATAGCCTTTAATCACTTGGGCTAATCCCAATTCCCCAAATCTTCATGGTTTTAGTGTTCTATAAGATGTTACTCCTTTTCTCGCAATTTTGTAATAATGTTACTTTTTGAATACCAGTTTACGTCTTCTATAGT